CGGCCAACAGCGCGTCCCGAGAATATTCTGGAAAGATTATTGCGATAATTTAGACCGCCTAATTCCTCAGCGTGAACACAGGGACCTGCTTTATATGAAAAATCACAACACGGTGTAGAAGTTTGTCTTATAATTTTGGTATCACTATGCTTGATTACTGAAATGATTTGTTTTGGTAAATCACCTGGAGTATTGGTACCAGTTTTTTCCCGGGACTGTAGAATTCTTATTTGTGGCTTCAGTAACCACGCACCCTTAGCTCGGTCGTGTCTCCATTTTATTCTGGCGGTTTTGCATATAAGAAGATTTAATGGCATTGATATCTATAATTGAGATTTATTTCAATAATCTGCACACAACAATGCACCAAAAATAGCCCGGCTTAAATAATCAAAGGAGACAAAAGCCATATTGTTGAACCGAGCCACGGATCCCATGGTCTCCCCCAGCTGTAATTCGCCACTCTGCGTAATTAATACATTCAGACGCAGCCAGTCATTATCTAATTTTGAAGAAAACAGAAAGTAAGGCGACGGACGTGAGTGTAATTCCGAGATCCTGAACCACACACCCAAGGCCGTGGATTTGGGGCTGACTGTCACGACAGTGCTGTTCTCCTTGGAGTCTCGCAAATCCCGCTAATGTCCCATTCAAAAATGACTGCCTCCCTCCCCAATCCCTATTTATGCACCTCAAAGTGTGCAATTTCCATCGCCTTTTTCTGTCTCTGTGTTTTCTCTCACCCAGCCTTAATCCTATTAGAAAGAGGAATCTGGGTTAGGCACACGTTTGTGTGTCTGGCGTAGCAATTCACTGAGTCTCAGCTGGGTCCTGTTTTATCTCCTCCGCTTGTTTCTCTGCCTGCAGGGGGGGCTGCCTTCTTACTGCCGAAGCCTTCAAAGCGCCGGGTTCTAAACAGGGAAGTGGAGATGAGGAACAGGACCACTGGAGGAAGTTGGAGTGTATGTGTGTGTGTGTGTGTGTGTGAGTGTGTGTAAGGCCTCCAGAGAGGCAGAGCTGAGAGCAGGCGGGGGGTGGGGGTTGCAGAAAATCTGCCTTTCCAGCCCCTTCTGTCAGAGCTGTAAGGCTATTTCTAAGGAGGACCATTTCTCAGCTTCGGAAGGTGTCTAAGTATAGAGCCGTGAACTGCAAATGTACAAGGATATGCTCCGCCTGCATAGTCCGGGCTGGCGAGGACGCGTCTCTCAGTGAGCCCTGCAGCAGCTGTGGCTTGCTGTGTTCTGTGCTGCGGGTACTGTGTGGCTCAGGGGGTGAGGACGCTGTGATTGTGATCAGAAGGCCGTTGGTTTGAATCCTGACTTCAGCAGAGGGAATTCACTCACAGGCCCTTAACTTCTAATGATTGTCTAACCCTGCTTTCTCCAAAAGGAAGCATGTCTGATAAGTAACTATAAACGTGAGTGAGGGCCAGTTCAGAGTTGCATCTATTGTATGATCCATCCATTTTCCATAAGCACTGATCACAGGGAGCCTTCAGTCTTTCCCAAGCAAGGGCACCGGGGTGGGTGTGGGATCCAGTCCATTGTCGAGTACACTCTCATATACAGTACCATGGGCGATTCTGAGAGAGCCAGTCACATAACCACACGTTTTCAGTCTGCAGGAGTCCGTTGGAGTGCTGCGAGAAACGTACATGAGTACACGGGCACGACGCGAACGGGGGCTGGGCACTGAACCCAGAAACCTGGAGGTGTGCCATTTGCATCATTTTGGGGTTTAATGTTGTTAGCAAACAATCGGTTTCTTTATTTTGCTGCCTTTTTTGGAGCTGATCCCTCTTGCCAGTCTGATTTGTGCAGAGTCTCTCCTCCTGATTCCCTAACCCCACTGCAGTGCAGGCCTCCTTGGTATCAGACCATCTGCTGACATTGTTCTGCTTTCTTGTTTGCTTTTCTCCCGTGACGGACCAGGGTCGCGGTAACTTGTAAACATAATTTAAAGGATATATTACTACAGTTTCACAAGTCACTTAATTATCGCACACTATCTGAGCAGCTGATGCCTGATATAAGACTGAGAAATGGTCATATGTCTTTGAATATTGGGTTGTTAACCAAATAACACTTAATTCCTTGTAACTGTTGCTGTGAAACACATCATTGACATGTAATGATAGTGTTTGTTCAAATAATATTGTAGCAACATGTAACGTAGCTCAGCATAGCAATATGTGTGATAGCACAGCATAGCGACATGTCAGACAGCTTAGCATAGCAACATGTGAGTTAGCTTAGCATAGCGACACGTAAGATGGCTTAGCGTAGCAACATGTGAGTTAGCATAGCATAGTGACATGTCAGCTAGCGGAGTGTAGCAATTCATGGGTTAGCTTAGCATAGCGACAAATAAGATAGCATAGCGTAGCGACATGCGAGTTAGCTTTGCAGAGTGACATGTTAGATAGCATAGCGTAGCCAATAAAGTCATGGGATGCAGTTCTGCACACAAATGCATCTGTACAATCATGTCAGATGCTTAATTCTCTGGCTGATGAGAAAATTACTGAAGACTGTAAGAAAAACCCAGTATCATCAGACGAATTTATCAGTCTTTATTATATCTGTATGTTATTATAGTGTGCTCTCTTAAACATTTAATTGTTTATCTGTGGTAATTAGCCTGATGAAGGCTGTGGCCCCAGTTTATTTAAGGCGATCTTCATTTAATTAGTCAGTCTAAACCTCTAAAATAGCTGTACCATATTATCAATTGCATTGATTACAACTGTTTAAACATTAATTGCTTAATTGTTCATCTGTCTTGTTACGATAAACCGTTAGTGACTGAACTTGTTTTTAAACCGGTAATTAATGTTTAGATGCAGGTGTGAGTGTCTGGAATGGGCTCGTATTTGTGTGTTTGCCTTCATTTAGTCAGACAGGAAAAATACTAACAGTGAGGTGAATATCATAAAGGAAACTGCAAAAGCCGTACGATTTCAGCCTTAGCATAATACTAGCATTGAGTTTTCAGCCAATTAACCCGGCGAGCTGGGGAAAAGTTGAGAGGATGAAAGCTTATAAATGAAAGGTAATATCGTCTCCCCTGTCTGGCTGACTAAATTGAGCAAAAATATGTGCAAATTTGACTCATTCGGCAGCGTTTACAAGAAATTATTCAGGGTTGGCAGTTACATTCGGAACAATCAGAGGGATGATTCAAGCGGGCGATGTTTTCCAGACACCAGTTACCTCCGCAGAGATGCAGAGATCCAAAATTATGCGGCGCATTAATTGCCCATCTGAATCACTGTCGAAGATATTAATCGTGCCCCGAATATCATTTATAAAATGGATAGCAGGTCACAGGAGCCCCCGGTTCCGTTTTTTTCCCTTCGTTTTGCGGCTACGGGCTTGAGGCTCCTGCCTCCGATGGGAATTAAAGCTCAGCGCTGGATGCCTTTGCTGCAGCGGGGCGCGCGCGACGCGCTGCACCAGGAGGGAATGAAACGCATGCAGCACCTCCTCCGGCAGTGATATTCGCTGAAATCCAGGCAACGTCTGCAGAAGTTATATCTATTAACTTCAGCTACCCAGGCTTAAAAAAAAGTGAAAATCACCGCCGAGCAACGTAATTATCGGTAGAAGGATGCAACTTTAAATATGTGAAACCGTAAATGTGTATTTACGGCTAACTGAGTGTTCGCCTTCGACAGAACCTCCGGGTTGAAAGCCAACGAAATCAAATAAATACGGAGAACGTAATGTAGCGGAAAGGCCTGTAAATGCGTGTATCAGCAGTTCCTAAGTGCTCCAGCACCTCAGCTGTGATTGCTAAACATTTCGGGTTCCTTGTAATCAATGACTCAGATGAAACAAATTCTATTTACTGTGGTACATTCTCGCGACTAAGTTGTCAGAAAGTACTTAACAATTTAGAATAAACTTCGCTGGAACGCGAAACTGAGTGGCACTTCTGGAAAGTGGTGTGCATGAATGTGCAAATTGCAGTACCAATATAAAACGTCTCGATCCCTTATGACGCGGGAGGTGGGGACGATTGAGGGAGGTCTGATGCAGTTATTTACTCGCCTTCTGTGTGGAGAAGCAGAACAACATTACGCCTGAAATGCCAGGGAGCTGGCTGCCTGGTATCTGACATCCATGCAAACTATCCCATGAACAGCACCTACTCCCTCTGGGGAAGTGGAACCACCTGCCGGAGAATTTCACCATTTTGAGCTGCCTTCTATAGTTCACTGAAGAAAAACACTGGGCGTATCGTTTTAAATGGTTGTTTACCCTAATTAATCCTAAATTGCTGCTGGGAAAATACCCAGACATTGACAGCCATCTTTTCAAATATTGATTGCACTGGCTGTCCATTTGGCCGCCCTGTCGAATCATTTATAAATTTTAATAAGGATACTTTTTGCTGAGTTATAAGGACAGGCAGGAAGATACCGTGTAAAATGTAGTGGGTTTTGGTTACTAATTGTGTTCTTTGTGATCAATTCCAGATTGTGCCCAGATTACTGGTCTTGTCTACTTTTATCGGTTTGCTAGTTCAGACACGGTGTATTACGGAAAAGTGAATGACTGTAACAATAAAGCTGATACTTTTGCCAGCATTTATCAAAACATTGTCGTCATGCATAAAAATGCTTCAGAAATCCTAAGTGCTTCCACGAGTTCAAGTCATCTTGATTTCCTCTGTTTCTTATCACTGCTGGTTTGCAGTGAACTTGAAGTGATTTAAAAATCACTTATTCTGCTTAATCTGTCAGTATATTATGTAAATTCTATGATTATTTACTACTTCTGCTTTACTAAAATAATTTCGAATTCATTTTTTTAGCAAATAATTAAAAAAATATTTGACGCAGTGTGTTTATATTATCTGTATATTGATCAGCATTTTCTTTCGTTATTTTAAGGTGTGATTTGTGAGCGACACCTTCTGGGGTCACTCTGCTGCTGAATTGGCGGGGCGATGAATCCCGCAGTGCATTGATCAAACTGTCCTTTTTCTCGTTGCAGGAGATTCATCACAATCCGGTAAGACACCATGCCTTTATTTAATACATGCTCTGGTCTCACGAAGCCCGCAGAGCTGCTGATGCAGCCGCTGCTGTTTACTTCATATTAATGTTGTAATTCAGTGTTTCCCAGGCCGGTCCTCGGGGATCCCTAGACGGTTCATGTTTTTGCTCCCCCCCCCCCAGCTGTTGGTAGGGAGCAAAATGCGTACTGTCTGGGTCTCGGAGGACCAGATTATGAAGCACTGTTCTAATTGATTGAGAATAAATGGCATCTTAGATTAATCAAACCTGGATACATGAAATGTACTCTTCATATCCATATCATTCCTTCCTGACAGTTACTGTATCACCAAAGTTTCTGCAGTAAATTATATCCGTACAGATAAAACATTTCATAATAATATGCGTGTTGCTTTGCATCATTAATGGTATTGAGGCTTTTGAAAAATGTTGCATTACTGACACACAGCACTGTCCCATCTGTCCGGATTTTGACTTTGGTGTGACCCATCATAACTGCACGCTTTTCTTCGCCGTCTGTGAATAAGCATGTCGGAGGCGACGCGTTTTTACCGTGATATTCCTGCTGAGTAACAGCGCTAAGCACCGCAGAAGGCTCTTGCTTTTGGAAAAGCGTGGCAATGTTAGTAGTTATCAGAATGTGTCCCGTAGATAATGGATTATGGAAATTTATGCTTAATTTCTGTTACTTATTCTGTTGTTTGAACCTTTAGAAGCCTCTAAGATATGTTTTGCTGGAGCAAGGTATTCACTATTACTACACATTTCCAGACTCTTTAAACAATGTGTTCTGTATGGTGACTGGCTAATTTAATGAGAAATGGAAAAAAAATAAAAATATCCGCCTTTGTCATGGCCGTTTGTTAATTAAAACATGCTCCTTTTGAGAGCGTTTTAGGGCATATTTAGCAGGAAATAGGTGCTAATATATTTAAGTGTGGCAACTTTCAAAATCTGTCTGCTTCTAATGACTGTTAATGTTCTAATTCTCTGAGTGCTTTGTCTGTGCTGGTCTGCAGTAATGACAGGCTGACTCAGGATTGGATGGATGACGTAAAAAGAGAATCTAATTGGCTAGTGGATGTCTTTCTAGTATGTGGATAAATGTAATTAGAGAGAGAGAGAGAGTTATTTTGACGTTGTGGGGACATTCTGTTCACAAGGGGAAATTTTTTTTAGAAAAATCTGTGACTGCAATCAGAACTAAAAATGCCAAAAGTCTTGTGTTTTGTTTGGTTACTTGTAGTTAAGCTTAGGGCTGGGTAGGGGTTATGATCATCATTGTTGGGATTAGGGTTATGCCCATGGAAATGAATGGAGTCCCCACAAAGCTGATGCCTAATCTGTGTGTGTGATATCAGAATTCAAACCCATTTCAAATTTGGAACTGTCAAACAGTGGGGAAAAAAAAATTCATCACAAATTGCTGCTGTGAAAGATGGGATTTTTGAATTCTGTAAGACACCACTGCGTTCCACAGTCTGGGGAATCCCTCTTTTCCTCATACGATCTTTCTGGAATCCTCTGTAAGTTGCAATTTATTTGGGAGGAAATTGGATTAAGGCTACAGCTGGACATTGATCTTTCTCGGAGACTGGAGAGCCTCAGTAGTGTCTGTATTTCCTGGACGGCTAAGCGGAGATATTTGGATTTTATTGAATTTGGGAGTTTCCTTTCAGGCATCCTTTTCAAAATGATATGTTTAGGCTTTTTGGAATATCAACTATGAAACCGCAGAGACAAAGCGCTCCATGTTTTGGGGGCTTCCTCCTGCAAGGTTGGCCGACTTTAAGTATTCAGTTACTCTGTTTTATTAAAATCGCATCAGTCAGTTTAAGCAACAAACGGTCAGTAATTTCCTAATGTACACAGATAAAATGAGAGCGAATGCCTTTGGGGTGGATTGGTTTTACAAGAATTAAGGATACTTTGGGCTGCATTATTAAGACATTTATAGTGCATTATAGATGAAAGCTTCGTAAGGCATTCATAATGCATAATAAACATAAGCTATAATGTGTTATGCCTTTTCATAAATAAGCCATGTTGATAATGCTTTATGAATGCATTATAATGCATTATGAATGCATTATAATGCATTATGAATGCATTATAATGCATTATGAATGCATTATAATGCATTATGAATGTGTTATGTGTTCATAGATTCTTGTGGAATTCATAGAAAGTGTTACTGACAAATAGTACAGTGCATAATGATCGTAATACCGTAAAAATAAATGGAACTGCATACGGTACTGTACTGTTCCTCGAGCTGATGAACCAATCACAATGTAGCATGCACGTTCATTATTACGAATCGCTCTATTTAAGACAAAATTTTAAAGTAATCGGCTTTATGGCGGTGCGTAAGTACGAGCTGCCCGCAAATGATTGTCGGTAGGCATGTCCAAAGTTTTGACTGGTCATGGCTGTCTTATACAATGCACAGTTTTTAGTGAATACCCACCCACCCCTGCTCTAGCCCTAGTCAGGGTCAGGGAGGCACGCCCTAGATGGGATGCCGGCCTAGTATAGCGCGCACACCCCCGCCGGCTCAGGCTGTGGCCGGTATGGAGGCTCCAGTCAGCCTAACTGTGTCTTTGGAGATTGAGGTAAGGATCCAAACCCATACCGTGTGCGTGTGACGCACCAGCACAACCTACTGCCACCCCAGCTGCCTGAATGTTCCATATTTCTAACATTTAATTTGGCACAGAAAGTCCCATGATGAGTAATTAGGGTCCTGTTTGAGGCGGGGGTCAGCAAGCCTGCTTTTGGAGATCCGCCCCCCCGCACAGCCTGGGTGCCGCCCCAGTTTTACACACCTGATACAGATAATCAGGCCCTTCAGTCGCATCTCAGGATTAGAGCCAACTTAGCTCAAACATAGCCGGCTCTAGTACTCGTCTGTATCGGGTGTGTTGGATTAGGGCGGCACTGAAGCTCTGCAGATGGGTCTCCAGGAGCAGGGTTGCTGACCGCAGGTTAAGGGGTATTCATTTTGTATTTTAAAACAATTTTTTTTAAATGTGTTTGTACAGTGTTTTGAATGTGCTGTTTGTTTGGTTCACCTTAAACATATCTTTACTTGCATTAGATTGCAGTAGTAATAATAATACTTTGCTGGCCCGTTTCCTCCGGCAGTCTGGGGTCTGCATCGTGAAGCTGCACTTCCTGCTTACCCAGGAACTTCTCAAATTTGGTGGTACCTCAGTTTAATGGACTTTATCGTCATTCACTTACATTTAGCCCAGACTGCCTTAAATCTGACGTGTAATCTGGCTAAGCAGGGAGTCCTGCTTCGTGACGCAGACCCAGCTCTGCTACTTTGCTCTGTTCCTCTCCTTTGACTATTTTTCTGTTGAATGTGTTGCACCTTCCATGGGATCCTTGTGTGAAAACCACTTATCAAAACAAAGCTGGGGGTCAGGCATTGGCAGACCACACTGTTGAGGGTGCAGACTGCCGCCAAAAGCCTTTCGCCTGCCTTGTGTCTCATGGCGGGGTAGCCTGCACGCCTCTGCCATTGTGGGTTCAGGTCCCATTGAGGTGTGTGTGTGTTTGCACATTGTCACCTAGGTATCATGACTTCCTTGCTGCAGTCCCAAAACATGCCACTGGGTGAACTGGTGTCTCCAAGGTGCCTGTTGGGGATCACGCAAACGTGCTTCCGGCGGGGGGGGGGGGGTCCCAGGGCATGCAGCTGGAACGCGGACAGACAAACATTCTCCATAAGTTTCCTACTGCTTTGTTTTGTTTATTCAAGCTTTTATATATGCAGTGATAGTTTTAGTTGTATGAGCTGTAGAAATACTGTATAAAATATTTATTTTTCATTTTTTGGTGATTTAAAAATGAATTTTATTGGGGGGGCTGGGTGCATTTTTTTTTAAGAGAAGCATACTGTAAGGTAATGTATTTTGTCATGTAACTTTTTTTTATTTTTTTTCCCCCCCACCATAAATGTTGGTAAATCCCAGATAAGCGTGAGTAATGACTTGCGGTGCCTGATCGCGCTGATGTAGCTGACATTGTCTTGGTATTGATGGCCCAAGATCTCTATCACTTCATTCTCAAAGGCATTTTTTTCTGTTTATTTTGTGATCTGTGAATATTGCCTCGTATCCATTGTTATACTCTATAACAATGATCTCCAGTCTTCCACATGGTTGGTAAATTCCACCTCGAGTGCAGCTGATCCATTCAGTTATGTACTTGAAGCTGAGTGCACTAATTTAATCAGATGATCAGGTCTTAGAATGGACCAAGAGGGATTGGTGTCGCTTGACCACATGTTTACGGTAGCGAATCGCACACGGCCCCAGGTTTAACCAGTTTAACATTTTTTAAAATGATGCCCTACATCTTCAAGTACATTTGTTTTCTTTAAATTACATAGCAGAGTTTTAAAAAATATATATTTTTTTCCTTTGCAGGGTTGTTCTGGAAATGTGATACTTGTAATACTTGTAATACATTTCCAGAATGCAATTCCTATAAACTGAGAACCCTCAGTGGGATCTTTTTTAGAAGGAGTAGTGGTATAATCCTTAATCCTTTTGCTAAGAGAGAGGTACTAGAGACTTGAGATGAACTGAGTGAAGTTTCAGGCACTGACACACATCTTCTCAGATGGCAGAACTCTGCCAGGCCACGCTGCCCCCAGTGGGCATTGCGGGAAGGACATGCCCATGGTGTTGAAATGGGGCCATTCTTAACTCAGAAGGTCGCTCCAAGGGCACCAGTGCCTAGAAATAAAAAAGGGGGGGTGAATTTGGCAAGAGCCACTAACAAATTTTGTACCAAGATGTGAGTAATCTTCCCAGAGTCCTGCATATGTATTTTTAGTTATTTCTCTGTACGGGGAGAGCTTGCCAGTGCATTTGCAAACACTGTTTGGCCTGTTATTGTTGTTTGTCAGAAACCTGGAGCCTCTTCCTGTAAATATCACCATCTGTGGCACCTGTAAGCCCGACAACGGGTGAAATTCCC